GTAAGAAGGTAAGAAACAGATCATGAACATTGAGCGATTAAGCAAGCCTTTTTGTATATTTATGTCGAGATGGTTGCAGTTTCCTTCACGTATTCGGTATATTAACATCCCGGTTCATACTACCAGGTATATTAACATCCCGGCTACTGCTTGAACTGGCTTACTTGGTGCTAACCAAGTTTAAAATATGTGAATTTTGAAAAATGCGGTTCCGTCCGTTTTTGGAAATTTCTGTCTATTTTGCAATCTATAAAATGTAACGAATTAAATTTTAGTTTGTACTGGACCACTCTTCATGAAAAAAAATATCCAGAAATCTCTAGTACATATCTGATGAAGGTCATAGCTGATGATGTCGTGTTGCCGAAAACGGATAGGCACTGTCCTAGATTTTTTTCAAAAGAAAAAAGGAAAATCAGGGAATTTCAGAGAGATTGGTATTCGTCATTGAGTCGACACCCTGTAATAGACTACGAATTTTGTGGTGAAAAGTAAAATGTTTTTTATTTTTTTATTCAGTATCCTCTTTTAGCTCGATACACTTATTCCAGCGATTTTCCAACTTTATGATCCCGTCTGAAAAGTAATTTTCCGGAAGGTCTGCAAAATACTTCTCCACAGCGTCGATGATTTCCTCACGTGAGCTGATTTTTTATTGATGAGCCAGGTTTAGGAAGCCAAATCGGGCGTGGATGCGGCAGCAATTGGAGCCGTAAGTCATTGATTTTAGCTGTGGTTGCGATGATCTTGTGCGCCGGCGCATTGTCTTGCAAAAACAATTTTTTTTTCGCTTCATGTGAGGCCGTTTTGCAGCGATTTCGGCCTTCAATCGCTCCAATAATGCACAGTAAAACTCGCTGTTGATGGTTTTTCCTTTTTCGAGGCAGTCCACGAAGAGTATGCCATGACAATCCCAGAAAACCGACGCCGTAACCTTTGCGGCCCATCAAGTCTTCCTCAGCCGCTTCGGAGCACTAGTGTTGGCTTCAGTCCATTGCCGGGCACTCATTCTGTTCTCTGGGGTGTAAAAGTGGATCCAGGTTTCATCAACAGTTACCAACCGACGCCAAAAGTCCGCCCGATTCCGCATCAGCAAGTCCAAACACTCTTTCGAAGTGCTCTCGCGTTCGTGTTTTTGGTCAGGAGTGAGCTTGCGCGCCACCCAGCGGCAGGATAACTTTTTCATATGCAAAATCTCGCTCAAAATATGGCGTGTGCGCTCAGTACTAATCTTTGCGGTATCTGCTAGCTCGCGCACCTTCACTTTCCGGTCAGCCAACACCATTCTCTCGAAACCAATATTTGACGGTGTAATCTGACGGAGCATTAGCCCCATAATATTTATTCAACTTTTCTTTTATTTCCTTCGCCGTTTTGCCTCTCAAAAAATAATGTTCTATGAGAGAACGAAAATCGTTTTTATCCATACTCAACATGATGCCAAACACGTCAACAACAATCAGCTGTCAAAACAAAACTAAAGACAGTATCGCACTGAAATTGGGCATGTCTGCCTAAATATGAATGAACTACAAGGCACCATAACCTTTTTTGCAGTAGCAGCGCATTCTCGCGGTCAATGAGGTTACTTTCACCCCACCTAGTAGTGCTTGTTTGGATGCGCTACAGTAGATATCATACTTGTTTGAATCATCAATAGGATCACATTTGCCGCACATGTACAAGTTCCGGGAGCCATTAAAGTAGCGGCTAAAATGTGATATGAACAAAACATTTAAATTAATAATATATGTATACGTAGGGTAAATGTTGGCTTCGGCACCATTGACTGTTTTCGGCAACCAAAATTTAAACGTTAATTTCACTATGTTTTCCCATCAACGCACTTCCCTGAATGTGTCCAAACGATTGTTTAGCCTTTCAGCTTCAATCTGATTATATTTGAACGATCGAGCAATCCAGTAATGCTACATTTTTCTTCAAATAAAGCATACGCACTACAAAATGAGGTTGATTTCGAGTTGCCGATAATAGAACAGGTGGTTAACACGCAATTCTAATGGGAAGGTTGCCGAAGAAAAAGAGACTGCCGACAATAGTCACACTCACCTGAGAAGTTTGGAGCGTTGTAAAAACGCTTTCAAAACGTTTTGAAAAATTCTGTCGATTTGAATGGATAGAGAAGCAAGCAGCAGATGAATGTAAACAAACAGACACATCATATATGTGCGTGACGCTGAGAAAATGCTAGTAGAAGTGCAGACGCTGCTTAGATTGACGAGAATACGTAAATTCCCCTATATATAATATGTATACGAGAAAGGCATTACAAGTAACCAGTAGGTAGTAACTCATAAAACACTGGATGATTCCAGTGTTTTATTTAAAAAAAATATTTTTAGCTTCTATCTGCAGCAGCATTTGCAGCTTTTATTGACGATGCTGATTAATATACTAATTCCTGAAAATGTTTGTCGGTTTATTTCTCAAATGTTCAGATGTAGATTTTTCTATTATTTCCATTTTATTGTTCAATTAATTTCCACATCATAGTTCTTACGAAAATGCTTCTCAAAAATGCAAATATTGAATTATATTCAAAGTGTTTTTATGTTACTTCATACGCGAAGTTAACGATTTTCAGAGTCGCATTAATGGCCCTTCGCTCATTTTCAACTTCTATTCAATTTTCATACTGCCGTACTCTAACGGAACTATCCACCTACCCTCTTCTAAAGATCATTCTCTAGCTAATAAATCATCACACTAAAGCTTCATGGTAGCATTTCCAACCAACTCATTGAATTATATTTTTTAGCGTTATAGGGGAAATGACGGCTTCGGCATGACAGACTATTTTCGGCAACACAAATTGAAACACTATTTTTACTGGATTTTCTTACGAAAACACTTCGCTGAATGCATGCAAACGATTCTTTATGCTTTCAGCTTCAATTTGACTATATTTTTACCACTGAGAAAAGGCAATCTAGCAGGTTTTCTTGATATGCAACACACGCACTACAAATTGTAGCTGATTTCGAGTTGCCGATAATAGAACAGCAGATTAACATGCAGGTCAAATGGAACGGTTGCCGAAGAAAAACTGGTTGCCGGCAATACTCGCTCTTACTAGAGAAGATTGGAGCTTTGTAAAAGAATTTCAAAACAGTTTTTGAAAATTCTTTCCGCTGAAATTGTTAGAGCAGCTGGCAGCAAAAGATTGTAAACAAACCAATACAACATATGTGTGCGTTCCTGAGAGAAAAAGGCTATAGAAAAAAGGCCGCTGCTTAGGTTGCCGAGAATACGTAAATTCCCCTACTTAATACAAGTTCTAGCAAGATTTTGATCCGCGAGATTTTTTTAATAAAATCTGATAAAACCATTTCAATTATTGGTCATCAATTGCTTGTCAATTTCCCTATGGACAATAGGTAAATCCACAAAATTTACAATATAATGTGTGCGTTGGCAAAAGAAGCAGAATATCTTAATGAAAAACCTGGTACATTAGTTGAAAGTCATCTGATAAATATGTGCATTACTTACTGTAGAGCTTATCTTGACATTACAGCAAAGGATTAAGTACCAAGAAAATCCCTTAATTTGTGCAAGACCATACAGTAGTAGTCTAAAAATTGCTCTAGAATTGGTGTTAGCCAACTAGACTTTGATAAAATATCGCATATTTGTGACAAATCCACACATTTCTTATTAGAAGTTTCAAAATATAGTGAATGTATTGAACATACAACACATGACACCGCAGTCGTTACTAAATATATCCCATTCATCACCATCATCAACTGCGTTGTGGTCAACGGATTATCAAGTTTGCACTTTTACCACCCCTTCAAACCGTCGATGCTTCCATTTTCTATGTTTAGCGTTTGTTTTCCTTTTGTGTACAGAAGAAAAAAAAAAAAAACACACACTATCGCGATAAACCGCTCCCGAGGACTTGAACAACATGTCTGATATCAGTTCAGTTGCTATGAATGGTTTCTGTTTACTAGCAAATAATACTCGTAGGTATACCGTTATGGACAAAAATCCGTACACCTCATACAAAAAGTAGGCGTTTTGTATGAAACATTCGGTTTTTGATTCATTTCTTAGGTGGACGGATTTCGGTTCCCGACGGTACATACACACTACCTAGTTTTATCGAGATAAAGACGCCACCAGCGAGCACGTTATAGCAAGCCGCAGGGAGGTGTGACCTTCCGCGCGGTTTCCACAGTCTGTTGGAGGCCATAGGTAGGGTAGTCGGTTGTCCAGCGCCATCATCGTCATCATAGCAGCCTCTTCTATATATGTGACTGCATCGCTGCCGGTGGGTTGAATTGTGCGGGTGGAATCACAACATCGCTGGCTGGTAAATAGGTTATTTTTGATTCTGTATCCACAATGTTGTGCGTGTTCTTCAGCAAGCTATTGCATTGCATTATGAGAATTCAGGTGGCCAATATTCGAAATTGACTTTCTCCAATTCGTGCTTCGAGTTCGTTCATCGGTAGTAGACTATTCAACGGAGAAGACCCCAGAAAATCAGGTTTCTAAGCCATATACGCACCGAAATAAATAGATAAATTTCAATCTAATTTTTCTCTAAATTGAATAGATAGTTTCCAATGTTTGAAGATGTTCATGAAAGCTTATATTGTATGCTTTCAAATTGCGTATGCAGTGGTTATTAGGGTGGTTTAAAATATCGATTTTGCTCCACCTAGCTAAATCGATTCTTAATCCCAAAATTTGAGATTATTTGGATGCGAACTCATACTGCACTAACCTTTGAAGTCTAAACATATGGGAATGACTATAGGAAAAGTGTACTTTTTGATTATCTTTTTGGTACACATATTTCATCTACATCTTGTACCCTTCTTAGTTCCCTAGAACGGCCTTAGAACGTAAAAAGCCTCTATTTGTTTTATCAGCATAAATGTATCGCCCAAGATATTAAGAATTAGGATTTAGAACTGCTGACATCTGCTTTGATTATTCTGCTCAATATAATCATACAGACTTACCCAAAAATCCTGCTGGTCGGACTCGTTTCGTGAGACTAGATCGTCGAAAGGGATCGTCGTGTTGGCTACAAATACGTCCGTGATCGGACCTTCGTGGAATATCGTCATGCCAAGTACGTTGGCGTTTTCCACCTCGTGTATAAAGCTTTCATTCCACACTGGATCGAATGTGCGTGGTTTTGTCGTGGATCGTTCTAAAAGAAAGGAAAACAAATGGAAAAAAATATTATTACAATGACAAAAATAACAGTTCGCTGGGAAGTAATCCTGGCTTATGTGTGTAAAGTGTGAAAGTAGGGTGCTTCATTTTGAAAAAAAGTTATGAATTTCTAATAGGCCATCCTCATTCACAGTTCGATTCAAAACTTCAAAATAGGAGCCTGTGCGAAAAATGTTAAAGATTGCTGAAGGTTTAGAGGTCACGCCTATGGTTTGAAGTTTGTATGGTGATTTTGGTGGATTAGTATGAGTGACAGTCCTGGTCGTTTTATTTCAGGAAATGTTCTTTTAAACTGGGAGACAAATTAACGAATGAGTAAAAAAATCACTCCAAAACTGGCTACTAAGATTTGTTATTGGTTACCACGGTAACAGGTTGCAGTAGTTGACGTCGGGACGCCTACGATGCCCGATCAGAATCGACGGCAGTGTTGGCAACAGTATGGGAAATTATTGATTTTCACTTACACTGCTCTTACTTTGGTTGTAGTTGTCCAAACGTTGAAAAATATGAATATGCGGTTGTAATGACAATAATCAAAAAGCCTATTGTTGTTATGATGAAATTGGCGTTGTTTTCTTGCACATAATATTTGTCAATTTACTATATTTTGTAATGTTTTCGAATTTCTATCTATGCTCTAACGCTGGTCGTAACAACAATAGACTTTTTGGTCATTGAAATAACAACAACATACATATAAGTTTTTTCAACATTTGGACAAGTATGAGCAAAGTTAGAGCGACATAAGAGTTTTTGAAAATTCTTCCATAGTAATTCCCATACAAATATCAAATCATTGGCGTAACCTTCATCAATCTTTACCATTGTTTGCACAGTTTCATATTTTGAGGTTTTGAATCGAACTGTAGGGTGGCTTATCAGAAATTCATCACTTTTATCAAAATGAAGCACCATAGTGTGGCAGGTACTATTAACCCACTTTAAAGACGGCATTATTTATATCCCAATGATTTGTAGTAGCTGTTCAGCAATGTGTGTTGTTGTTTACATAATGCTTAATACGTTTGTGTCCCGAAAGTGCATTTTTTTTATCCAAATTATCATAATGAGAGGCATTTTTCTGGAACAACGCAAGCAGATCTTGGACGGATGAAGTAAATATCGGAGCAGTCCAAACTGTTAGCTGGAGCGGGAGATCGCTTTCGATAAAAAAAAGGGTGCCTCTGTTTGAGATTTCGTTGGTTAAATACTAGGAAATACATCGTCGAGTTACGTCCAGGTGCCAAGGCAAGTAACTGGCTAAAAATATATTAAAAAAGCAGAAGAAACCGACATTTTTTGGTGCACAGAACAATACAAATTCACATTTTCTTGATAAATCCCTTATTGCCCTGTGCTCCGAAGAATTACGCCAGAAACTGGCCTCATCCGTCGGACTAAGAGCTCAAAAGCAAAACATAATTTGTTTTCAGTTGGTTCCAGTGCTGGTTCCGGATAAATTCGGAACATTATTCTTCTTCTTCTTCTTCGCATTTCAAGCTTAGTGCTTATCGCATATTAGCTTATTGCGTGCTCTCAACTTAGTGTTCTAGATGCACTGCACTGAATCTTAGATTTTTTTTACGTGATTCCGGATACAATCCGGAACATCCGGTATCAGGTTCTAGCTACCAAAATTTCTCCAGATGTATTACCATGGTACTAAAATTAGGAAAAAGAAATTTAATATCCTTATTGTGACTATTCATAATCTTTAAATCTGACATTTTTAAGGTGATTCTAGATACAGTCCGGATCATTCGGAACCAGGTTCCAGTGACCCAAATACACGCACTAAGCATTCTCATAGTATTAAATTTAAAAAAGAAGACATTTGTGATTATTCAAAATCCTTGAATCTGAACTTTCAGGTGGTTCCAGATACAATCCGGAATATTCGGAACCAGGCTCCAATGACCAAAACTGTCACCAATACGTATTCCCTAGGGTAGGGCATCCCTGATCTCAGTCGGTAAAGGCGCTGCTATAAAGCAAGACCATGACGTAGGTGGCTGGATCAATAGGAAACCATTCCCTAGAAATGTTCTGTATGTAGAACACTCAAGAGAAATTTCCACTGTAACACTGATGGACATATTTTTAAGAGGTTAGAAAGAACTGCTAGAGAAGTCTGAAGAAACTTCCGGGGAAAGTTAGAAAAAATCACTGGAAGAAGCTGAAAGAATCTGTCGGGAGATATTTAAACATTCAGGGAAAGTGATCTTTGATAGAAAGTTTCAGAGCAAGTCAGAAGACAATTTCGGGTCAGCAGGGCTCCTGGGGGAATTCGGAAGGAGCTTACAAGATAAATCGTAAGAATCTTCAGGTGGCAGTCTGGACAAGCTCACAGATGACGTCAGGTTGGAAGAAACTGCCAGGAGAAGTTGGAGTAATCTTCCGGTGAAAGTCTTAAGAAAAATCGTAATAAAACTAGAAATAGCTTCCACGGAATGATCCAAAAACTAGTCAACTTGTAAAAAGCATCGTATATTAAACCTTTAACAAAATAGTGCATATAAAATAACACCAAGTTGTTTATATATAGAACATTTAATATGTAACTGGAAACATTAATTTATATTTAGAACCGTGAGTTAAGCCAAAAAGCCCAAAGAGAAGTATTTATAATAAAGAAAGAAAAAGCCCAGGGAGAGGGGGGGGGCGTCAAATACCCCCTCTTAATATAAGATTGATTGATTGATTTCTTTAATATATAGACTTTCAGCCGTTGGTTGGTTCGTCTCTGACTTCATATACGAAAAAAATAATTATCTTCATGATTCTTGACCGCCAAAATCACCCTTACAAACGAACTATACCAGTTGATAGAGAGATCATGTACCTAAGTGATTGTGTTGTTATTTCGTAAGTATGATATTCAGTGGCGTCCCGTAACCTCACTTTTTACCTGTGCACAAACTTTCAAAACCAGATTTAATGCTATATTCATACTCGAATCGGTTGAAAAATACACTTAATCTTCTAGTTTACTCGATATCTATCAATTGCAAGCAATATTTTCATAATTGTTTGCGTTTTGTGGGTTGGTGCACAGGCAGATTGAGGTTAAGGAAACGCCACTAATGATAATTTATTCCGCAGAAATTGACGATTGAATTCATTATTTACAAAAGCAGCTTTATAAAAATTAGATTCCGGGAAATCTTTAAGTGAACTCGGACTTTGCTATTTAAGCTTCTATAATTTTTTATACGGATCTAGTAGATCAAATGTTACCTACTGCCCAACATACATTTATCAGTGTTGGTTTGGCTGTAAAGGTTTTAGGACAGCGTAGCCTCAGAAAAACATATCAGTACCGTAAAACGGAGTGGAGTTGATCAGTAGGGTGTACTTGATCAATAAAAATTCTCATCATTATTTTCAAAGAGAAATAGTGTCATTGTTTTAGGGCATAAGACTGCATGCTATTTCTACAGAATTCGACATACAATAACATAACTGAACAAAAATAATGAGAAATTTATGTGATCAACTACACCCCACTAATCGAATCTACCTCGTTTTACGGTAATGTCTTTTACGTCTGCGGATTAACCACAATGTTGTTTTTCATGAGAAATTTATTTAAGCACCTTGCTAAATTACGTCTCAAAATAATATTAGGTAGCGCTACGATCACTTTGATTGACTTTATGCTCGCTTGACGCCAAGCGACCAATCCTCTGGCACGGCCATTGAAGCTGCCGTAAGTGATAGTGGTGGCGTTGATGTTGGCATGATTTTAGGCATCGTTCATACGTTACCATAATCATGGTGTGCCGATGAGATCCACTCATCCAAGTATGACTAATCGATAGCACAGTCATTGTTTCTCGATGCTACCGTGAATTCACTTCTTATAGTTTCATCGAGCGATACAAAAACTGCTGAAATACGCCATTAGCTAAATGTTCACCTATACCGAAACGTTACCATGGCCATTCAAACATACGCATAAACGGAGCTGATCCATACTTTGATCTATGACTACTTCTCTCTCCATGTCGAACAGCTATCCCAGATCTGTCCAACGTTTTTAAACCGCGGGCCAAATGTCCATATCCAACCATAACATGACTCCATTTCTGATTCGCTTAAGGCATTTATCGAGTTGAAATATGTCTTGTATTCTTTGAGCATAGGGTACTACGAGGTACATTATGTATATAATATTCAAATGCAAAAATAACAATGCACGTTTCCATCAAATCGGTTTCGTACGTTCGAAGAACTTATTGCTAGCATCATAAGAATAAGTGCACCGAAGACACCAAGACAATTAGACGGAAACTCGCACTTTTATCACACTTTTTAATAAGTAAAAACGCGCTTATTAGTCCAGTTTGGGGTGAAATGCGTAAAAATTAATGAAAATAACATCGACACTATTATTAATTCAAGAGTGAACCTTCAAAAAGTCGTATCTGCTTAAACTTTAATTGCAGAGAGCAATGATATTTTTTCCGACCCCATAGACTTTAATCGCGATTTATAAATCAAGATTTAAGTCAAAAGCATTTTGACGCTAAACTCTCAAATTGACAGCTCGCTCCCATACAATGTCCCACCGACGGTTGCTATGATGGTGATTTTTGCTAATGTAATCACACTTAATTAAAATAGTTCCAGTGCGGTTCTCTTTCAATGCGTATTACGGATATATATCCGTAAAGAACCCAATTGTAGATTTTCTCGTTAATTTAAATCCACGTCATTAAGTAACGTCTAGAACCTGGAATATTTCAATCATTCATTGATTCGACTAGACCATTTCCACGCCAAATAGTAAAACATGACTAGACCTTCTCCGATTTACATGAAACATTGCATAACTGTTTGTTATAGACAATCAGTCACATTTTTGAAGTAACCAGCAATTTTGGATTTTGTATTTAAAAAAAAATTACGTGTGACATTTTTCAATGAATTGTAGCACGAAAACGTCACTTTTGATCGAAATGACGTATG